AAAAAAAAAAACAAGCAAACGTAATATGTGACAGGTAATAATATGGCATGGGAGCCGGCGCAGATCCCACAGCATGGTAACCTAAAGACCACCTGAAGGATCAGGGGCGTCACGATTAAAATAGTCCGGAGTCGGTCTGGACGGCCTGGACATCACTTTGCGTTCGCGTTAGTATTCATTAATGCCACTTTGCGCGGCTAGCCAACGCCCCCCCGCCGGATGCACCCTGCCCTGGCCGCGTCAGGTCCGGCCGGTTCTGCGGCTGTTAATCCGTGGGACACGAGCTGACCCCGCGCGGGGCAGAGGAGGAAGCAATGGCGATCACTGACGCAGAGATGTTCACATTATGCACCGCACCCTGGTCACAGAGAACACGGTCTTCTCAAAATGACATCAAGTGATGTCAGTGTCAAGATTCGTTGTCAATTTTGCATCAAATGACATCTTATAATGGTCATAATGATATCAAAGCTGGCCATAAAAATAACAAAATATTGAGACTGACATCATTCGACGTCATTGTGACCAAACCGTGTTCTCTGGGCTGGGGGTGAGGTGGGGTGTGGGGTGGGCGTGGACAACCGGACACCTGGAGCCACTGCACTCTGCGACACATCCCAATTGTTTTCACGCCCTCCAGCAGAAGAGGCGCTGTAAATTTTTCAGTATGTTTTTGATATTTTTGATTTGCAAGTAAAATTGTTCATTTTACGAACGCGATGGTAAAAATTTGCAAAGGTACTCGTAAATCTATGGGATCAGTTGTAAATGCACAACTTGCTAGTCGAAGGTGCCTAAGTTGATTGGAGCGGGTTGAGAACTCTCGTAATTTCACAATTTAAATTTGTAACGTTACAATTTTAGTGATTGACAAAATTTAAGAATGGAAATCAAATGTCAGCAGGTAAGCGGCGGTGGCACGTAGGCGCCCACCCCACCCCCCGTTCCCCTACCCATGCTTGCACCTCACACGTGTTTCGATGATAATAATTGTTCATAAACGATCCCAAAGTGGTCCGCGGCGCGAGCATGCGCAAACACCACCCATTCACGCATTCAAAGTGAGCGCCGAGCACGATTGTCTGTAATCAAGCTTTTTACGCGCGCCTCTTAAGCGCCGCCGACTGACGTTGGCAGCGCGCGTCTGTGTGTAGTAAGGGGGCAAAAGGGGGGAAGGTGAGGAGAGATGCTGTAACGCGATGCTCCCCCCAACCGCGGCCGGGGCCCC